ATGTTTAACTATAACCATGATATTATGTAAATCTCACATTTTAGTCACTCGTTGTACATTGATGCCCTTATTATGATTTAATCCTTATTTGCCAAGCATAATTAATTTATTTAATTTATGTCTTAGTCTATCATGTTTATAAGTTTGCATATTTAGTCCCTGTTATCCTGATTAGATTTGTTACAAGCCCCTTTTAAAATTATATTTATATGTCTTTAGATTGTAATATTAATTATTATTTATTTATGTGTATATGTATATATAAAATATATTATATATATATATATATATATATATATTCATAAATATTGTGTAAATAAACAATTGCGTAAAAATATAAAGTATGCACACACACACATATATATTATATAAAAATATAAGTTATATTTTTTTATTCCCATAGTTATGTTTTCATGTATTTACATATATGTAGCAAATATATTTATATGTATATTTTCTATCATATTGCATGCGTATACCATATAATATACATACATAGGTAATTAATATATTTGAGACTTTATATATACATAATATGTTTTTAGCCTTTTTTATACATATATGCATCTATTAATACGTCATTTGTATATATTATTTTCATATATGTTTCTATTAGATGTTTTTATTTATCTTTATGTGATTTAGTGTATACATTTAGATTGTTAATTTCAAATAATATGTATGATATCCCATGAGCATTTCTTGACTCCAAATCGAAATAATTTGACTAAGATAACATTCGTTCATTTTAAAATTATTGTGAAGTGACTGTCTTGACGTATAAAAAAGTTACTTTCAGTAATTTTGAAATTAAAGCACATTCCCATTTAGTAAAACCCTAACAATTTGACCACACCTAAAATTTGGGTATTTTCAATATATACATTTAAGTCACCATTCCATGTGATATGCCATTTTTATTAATGTTTAACTATAACCATGATATTATGTAAATCTCACATTTTAGTCACTCGTTGTACATTGATGCCCTTATTATGATTTAATCCTTATTTGCCAAGCATAATTAATTTATTTAATTTATGTCTTAGTCTATCATGTTTATAAGTTTGCATATTTAGTCCCTGTTATCCTGATTAGATTTGTTACAAGCCCCTTTTAAAATTATATTTATATGTCTTTAGATTGTAATATTAATTATTATTTATTTATGTGTATATTAAGTATATAAAAATAGGGTTTTATTAATATATATATATATATATTCATAAATATTGTGTAAATAAACATTTGCGTAAAAATATAAAGTATGCACACACACATATATATATTATATAAAAATATAAGTTATATTTTTTATTCCCATAGTTATGTTTTCATGTATTTACATATATGTAGCAAATATATTTATATGTATATTTTCTATCATATTGCATGCGTATACCATATAATATACATACATAGGTAATTAATATATTTGAGACTTTATATATACATAATATGTTTTTAGCCTTTTTTATACATATATGCATCTATTAATACGTCATTTGTATATATTCTTTTCATATATGTTTCTATTCGATGTTTTTATTTATCTTTATGTGATTTAGTGTATACATTTAGATTGTTAATTTCAAATAATATGTATGATATCCCATGAGCATTTCTTGACTCCAAATCGAAATAATTTGACTAAGGTAACATTCGTTCATTTTAAAATTATCGTGAAGTGACTGTCTTGACGTATAAGAAAGTTACTTTCAGTAATTTTGAAATTAACGCACATTCCCATCTAGTAAAACCCTAACAATTTGACCACACCTAAAATTTGGGAACGAAAGAAAAAGAAATGTTCGTTTATTTAAATTCTTCGAGAAAAAATCATTAGAACTTATCTAAGGTACGATCTCAACGTCATTTAAATAATCGAATATTCTTCTTCTTTCTAAAAGGATTGATAATTTTAAATTAATTTGATTTCATTTCGTGCATCTGAATATCAAGGTGTGATTATAATATTTGTTTGTTTCGATTGGAGTAAAAATTAATTGTCTTAAGGTACGAGAGATTAATTCATCTCAATAGGAAATAATTAAATATTATGATATTTCATTCCAAAATCCAAGGATTTTATTTGAATGGATGATAAATTAAATTAAAATTCGAATTTATGAATTTTATTGTAAAAATAATTAATTAATGGACAAGGTACCAATTTAGGGCACTATGAGGATGCTAATTCTTCTCCATGAGTAACCGACATCCGAACTCAATTTTTGGTCGCATACGTTTTAGTTTAATAATTTTAAAATTGAATTTCATTAAAATAACAAAATATTTTGGGTGTCCAATTACACCCTAATCAAGGATTGGTGGTGACTCTTTAAATAGTATTTTATCTTATTTAAGAAAGAAAACACCAAATTTTTTGAGATGAGATTTTTATATCACACCATAAAATAATTAAATTTATTTTCGAAAAAGATTGTTTAGACAAATATATTAAGGCTTTTTCTAGCTGACAGTTCAAATTATGAAAATTAAAGAACCTAGAGGTACAAACCTAGAAAATAATCCTATTTGAAAATTAAGAATTCTCTTAATTTAATGACTAAATATGAATTGAACAATTAAAAGATTATGGATTAAATCTAAAAAAGGTGATCCATCAAGGACTAAATTAAAGTACAAAAATGAAGGGTAAAAATAAAACAAAACAAAAAATAAATTAATTAAAGTAATGAAATTAAAGGACTTAAATTAAATAAATAAAAAGTAAAGGGCATAAATTTGAATGCGCAAAAAATAACAACAATAAATGAGCAATACAAATAAAATGTTAGTGTTAATTTTTATTATTTAACCCGAACTGTAAATAATGTGAATCGTACCCCGAGGTGGGTCGTCGCAAGGTCGTACGATATTTCGAACATAAAATAAATAAATAAAATAACAAGTTAACGGTTAGTGGTTAGCAGTTAGCGGTTAGCAAAGTTAGTGTTAATAGAGTCCATACAGTAATAATGCGGGTCGTACCCCGGATCGGGTCACTGCAAGGTCGTATAATAATTCAAAAAAATTAATAAAAAAGATTAATAGAGTCCAAACCATAATAATGTAGATCATACCCCATATTGGGTTACCACAAGGTCGTATAATAATTCAAAAATTAATAAAAAGGTTAGAGTTAGAAATTAGTAAAGTCTGAATCGTAATAATATTGGCCATACACCTGATTGGGTAACCACAAGGTCGTATAATGATTCAAAAATTAATAACAATAAATAAAAAATAATACGTCATATTCAAAATAAATAAATAATAATAGGAGCAGTGACCAAAGTGCAACAACTAATAAAACAATAGCTAAATTATAACACATAAAATGGCAAAAATAGTGACCAAATCGAAATAAAATAAAATAGAGGGGGTCAAAATCATAACAAATAAAAATAAAAAACATGGTGACCAAGATGCAAATACATGGCAAAAGTTTAGGGATTGAAATATAGTTTTCCCTAAAATAGGTGGCCAGAATACAAAAGGGGTACTAAATGAGGGGCCTAAGGATGATTTACCTTTTTTCTTAAAACAAAACGTTTTCCCCTTCACGCATGCATTTCGACCGAGAAGCTCCCAAGCTTCACAACCATCGTCGGCCACCGGCCACACGCCATGCAACGGCATGATCTCGCCCCAACCGGTGCCACAACACTGACCACCCACTGACCGAGAGCCCCCAAAGTGAACCGAACCACTCTTTTTTCTTCTAATTTTCTCTCTATGGAACCCCCCCAAAAAACAACTCACCCCAACTCATGGCCAAACGGCCACTGGCCACTGCCGTAAACTGGTGTCTCTCACGTTCTAACCAGCTCCGAACAGGCCGGATAACTCCCCCTATAGACCAAGCTTACCCGAAAAAGAGAGAAAATTGGGGAAAGAAAAGTTACCTTTTATTCTGATTTTTTTTAGGAACAAAAGTTTTATAACCCCAACATGTAAACAAAAACTCATTAAAATAATAATAAAATAAAAGTGCAAAACAATAGTGGTTACAGAGCTTCCCGGCTATCGGCCACATGCCGTACAATGACGTGACCTCATCTCGACCAACGCCACAACATCGACCACCCACTGGCCGAGAGCCCCCAAAGTCCCCGAAGTGAACCAAACCACTCTCTTTTCTTCTTATTTTCTCTATATAGAAACCCAAAAAAATAACTCACCCCAACTCGTTACCAAACAGCCACCGACCACTGTAGTAAACAGGTGTCTCTCACGTTTCGACCAGTCTGAACCGACCGGAGAACTCCCCCTATGGACAGAGCTTACCCGAAAAAAAAAAAAATAGAGAAAGAAAATTTACCTTTTATTCTTATTTTTTTGGAGGAACAAAAGTCTTTTTTTACAAGCAAAGTTAGGGTTTTTATAACCCCAATATGTAAATAAAAACCCATTAAAATAATAATAAAATAAAAAATACAAAAAATGATGGTTATAATCACGTAATTATATCCAACAGATCGGGGTACAACATCTACGTCTATATAGTGCTTCGTACGGTTCTATACGAATGCTAGCCTGGTAACTGTTATTGCATGCAAACTCAGCTAAGGGCAAAATGTCCTCCCAACTACCATGAAAATCAATCACACAACCCCACAACATTTTCTCAAGAACCTGGATCACTCACTCAGATTGATAATCAGTCTGCAGGTGAAAAGCTGTACTAAAATTTAGTTTAGTTCCCAGAGCCTCATGCAATGTTTCCCAAAATCTCGAAGTAAATCTCGGATCTCGATCAGAAATGATAGATAGAAAAACACCATGCAATTGACAATCTCTGAGATATACAATCTAGCCAGCTTGTCCAAAGAAAATTTTACCCGCACTAGAATAAAATGAGACGCCTTTGTAAGTTTGTTAACAATCACCCCAGACATAATTCTTTTTCATAGGAGTCAAAGGCAGACCAGTAACAAAATCCATAGTTATACGCTCCATTTCCATTCGGGAATCTTGATAGGCTGTAACAAACCTTACGGATGCTGTTGCTCTACCTTAACTTGCTGACAAGTCAAATATCTAGCCACAAAATCAGAGATGCCCTTCTTCATACTGACCCAATGGTACATCTCTCTCAGAATCCAGTACAATTTATCTCCACCGGGTAGCATAGCATATGGACTATCGTGAGCCTCACTGAGGATAGCCTGTCTCAACTATGCATCATCAGGCACAATGTCAACTTTTGAAGAATAAAACTTCATCCTGGTCAAAATCATAATCTGAGGTCATCCTCTACTCCACTTGATCAAAGACGGGGAGCAAGGAGCTATCAAGAGGTTGCTTGGCCTTGATCTCCTCGGCCAAGGTTGGCTTAACCTGCAATTCTGCTAATATAATACCATCGTCATATAACTTTATCATGACAAATAAAGACCTTAGATCAATTATCGCCTTCTAGTTAAAAACATCCTTAATGATAGTAGCTTTACCTGGATGGTAGTCAATCTCGTAATCATAATCCTTTAGAAGCTCTAGCCAACAACGTTGCCTCAGATTAAGTTCCTTCTGGGTCAGAACATACTTTAAACTCTTGTGATTAGTAAAATTATAATACTTCTCTCCATAAAGATAGTGTCTCTAGATTTTTAAAGCAAAGATTACAGCTGCCAACTCCAAATCATGGGTCGAGTAATTACACCCATACGGCCTCAACTGACGGGACACATAAGCAACTACCCTCCCCTCTTGCATTAGAACACAACCAAGTCCAGAGTGTGAAGCATCACTATACACCGTAAAATCCTTCTCGGTTCAGGTTGAGTCAAAATTGGAGCTTGAGTCAAAGAAGTCTTCAATTTCTCAAAACTCTCTTGTTGTGCATTTCCCCAGTCGAATGAAACATTCTTCCTCAACAATTTCGTCAAAGGAGAGGCAATGATTGAAAAGCCCTCGATAAACATCAATAATACCATGCTAAGCCCAAGAAATTACAGATCTCGAAGATATTTTTGGGTCGCTTCCAACTCACAATGTCCTCAATCTTACTCGGATCGACCTGGCGCCAAAACAATATGCCCAAGAAATGATACATCCCAAAGCCAGAATTCACACTTGTTCAACTAAGCATGCAAGTGATGCTCTCTCAGAGTCTGCATAATTATCTTCAGATGCTCATCATGCTCTGACTCAGTTTGGGAATAGACCAGAATATTATCAATAAAAACCACTACAAACTGATCTAGATAGGGCTGGAATACACGGTTTATCAGATCCATAAAGCTACAAGAGCATTTTTCAGTCCAAATGGCATCACCATGAACTTATAATGCTCATAATTCATGCAGATGTCAGTCTTTGCAACATCAGACCCCTTGATCTTCAACTGAAAGTACCCCGAGTGAAGATCAATCTTAGAAAATACAATAGCTCATCATAATTGATCGAATAAGTCATCAATCCTGGGTAGTGGGTACTTATTCTTAACTGTCAACTTATTCAACTTCTGGTAATCAATACAGAGCCTAAGCGATCCATCCTTCTTTTTCATAAATAGGGCCAGAGCTCCCTAAGGTGAGGTATTATGCCTAATGAAACCTCGATCAAGTAATTCTTGTAATTAAACCTTCAAGTCTAAGTTCCTTTGGGGACATACGATATGGTGCCATAGAAACAGGTGCAAAATTGGGATAAGTTTCAATCTCAAACTCTACCTCTTTATCCGGAGGTAAACCTAACATCTCCTCAAGGAAGACATCGGGAAACTCGCTAATTGTATGAATCTCCTCAATCTTGGAGAATGAGCCTTTAGTGTTCAAGATACAAGAAATAAAAGTCTCATATCCTTTTTGGATCATTCGATCAACAATCAAAGTTGATACTTTATTATAAAGATAACCTCAATGCTCACCAACTAACATGATAGTCCGACCATCTGAAGTCTTCAGAGTATATATATCTTATACTCATAATCCAGATTGACCCGTTGTTTATTCAACCAATTCATCCCAAGAATCAGATCAAACTCCTCCAAAGGAAGCTCCACAAGGTCAGGGAGGAAAATTTCACCTTGAACTCCAGAGGACAATGCCTGAATACCTTATTCACAACCATTGATTATCTTACTGAAGTCATAACAGTAAAAGCATTCTCGGTGTCCTCAATTAGAATCTAAAGATCTCAGGATACCAAACTCGAAACATAAGAGTGGGTGGAGCTATTGTCTAGTAATACAAAGTATGGAACATAATAAATAGTAAATGTACATGAAATAACCTCTGGCTCATCTTTATCATCTCGATGTCTGGTGGCATACACCAGAGTTGGTTGTTTTACCTTTGATACTACTGGGATCGTGCTCTATTGTCTGCTCTGAAAACTATTCCAAGAGTCTTTCCCTTACTACAACCTCTAGATGGGGTATGAACTGAAGCCTATGAACGTGTAGAAGTTTGGGTAACTGTCCGCTTTGACGAAGCTAGTTGTGGATAATCCCTTTTAAAATGACCATTGGATCCATAATGGAAGCAAGCTCACGTCTTTTTATGACACTCTCCTCTATGTCGATTTCCATAAAAGTCACAAAGTGTCACCTGAGGTAAACCGGATGAACGACCTCGACTAACATTTGAGGGTAGAGGTACTGCAGCCCTGGAACTGGTACTACTCCGCTGAGGGGCCGAAGTATGAGTCCTCTTCTCAGGACATGTCAAATACTCGGTCGGGTTGGAAGACCTCATAGATCGCTCTCGGTCTATTCGATTTTTAACCAGAGCCAAGGCCTCTACTTCCTCAGCATTCTTCACTCTACCGACCAAAACATCAAAAATCTCATCCTAATGGGCCACAACCTTCCTACGTAACTCATATCTAAGTCCTAAGGTAAACTTACGACATCTGTCCCTCTCAGTGGGAACCAAGCTAGCACCATACTTTAGCAACTTCAAAAATTCTATCTCATATTCGAAGACTGAAATATCTCCTTACACCAATTCCTAAAACTAATGTTGCCTCTCAGCTAAACAACGTTCTCCAATGAAACATTCCTGAAGAACTCTTTGAAGAAATCCATATCAGACGATCAATAGGAACATTGCTCACAACTGACTCCCACTAGGTGTGGGCATTTCCATCTAGCATCGAAACAGCTCCTAGATATCTCTTCGATGGATCCAAACCCAGTGATCCATACGTCTCTCTGTATCACAGAGCCAGTCTTTAGCTTCTGTAGAAGCTCTGCCAGTCAAACCTCCAAAAGTCTTGACCCTATTAACGATCAGGGTCTGAGTAATCGGGACTTCAGGTACGACACCAGTAGCTCTGACCTTACCTTGAATCGACTACAAAAACTATCTACCAAGAGTCTTATCTAACACCACTCTCGTAGGCTCAGCACTAGCGGCTGGTGCTCCCCTGGCAGGTGTCGTCATATCAATTCTATGAGCAGGTGACAAATTTATATTAGAATCGTCTACAGGATCCGTAAACCTAGAAGATCAATCTCGCCCATGACCAGGTCGACGACCTCGTCTAGCACTCATAGAGAATGATTTCAGAGCTTACTACATAAGAGTTTAAACTTAAGGTCAATAAGGCACTTAGAGTACCAAACACAATTAAACTTGTAAAAATAGGTGGCATGGCTTTATAGGAAATTGTAAAACATTTCCAAAATAGTAATTTTTTATTTAGAATCTATTCACAGTCCGATGTTTAAAAAACCAAAAGCTCTGATACCAATAAATGTCCCCCAAGACCCAGCCTATGCTTTACGACTAGATCTAGTAGATTACAATAAAATTTCCAAAAACATTTTTGATAATTTAAAATCGTATTATAAACAATATCTAACAAAAAGAACACAGTTAAAAACGATAAAAAATTCACTGAGTAAATATCAATCTGTTAGTGGCTGAATAAAATAAAATACATCATAATTCGTATCGTAGTGAAAATCATAAGAATAAGTATTATAAAATAAGGGAAAATGTTACGATAAATAAAGTAGTTCGGAAGATAGAAACATTTCAACAAAAAAGTTATGTAAGAATATGTCGATCCTCTAAGTTCCTGATTTAGGGTGCTTATCCAAAAGTATCTGAAAAGGGGAAAACATATTGAAATATGTGAGTTAGGGGCTCAGTGTGTTCCAATGATGCAAGTAAAACATAATAGATAAAACAATCAATAAGTATTTTAGTAAGGTTTCGTAAAGGTCATCAATAAGTTGAATTTAAAACTCATAGTTACCCTCCTCCCATACTCCAAAATGCAATTTCCCCATAACTGCATCCATAAGGGCTACCTTATATTCATTGGGTATAGGAGCCATCCTAAGGGAGTACCTTAGGGCCTGATAGCCTACCCAAGAAACTTCTCGGGGCCACGGAGCCTACCTAAGGGTCACCTTCGGTCTGTAAGGTATTACCAGCTTGATCAGAGCTGAACCTCCATACTCAAGTATCCTACCAAAAACAATATCTTGATAAAATAATTCACATAGTAAGCAAAACTTTCCATGAATTCGTAATCAGTATAATCATATTTCCAGTGTAAATAAGTAACCAGATAATATATATCAAACAATCATAGTTCATAAACAGTAGTTCAGTAAATCAATAATTTCAAAAAATCACATTTTCAAGCAAGTAAAACAATTATATGCCATATAAGGAGCATATCTAGCGAGATGGGGTCGGTCAAAGAGTCTACTGAGCACCTGATTCACCACGCTCTACAGCAGTGCTTGAATCTAATTCATAAATTACTGAGTTAATATCGAAGCAAGAATTTAATCTAGGTATTCATAAGGTTCATGGGTCATACGAGTAACCATTGTCTCACGGGGTCAGACTGATCGAGAGGAGTTGAGTCGTGTTATTGAATGATCGGGAGAGTCTTGTGTACCTTCAAATGACAATATTTGATCAGTCTCTAACCTTAATTTAATTATTCATAAATACAACAGTTAAGTACATATGCATGTTTGAGTTTGGTTGTCAATTCGGAGGCTTTCAGGTTCGAATTTGGAAAAACGGACTTCATATTCGGACTCAAAACATGAAAAAACATAAAATGTGACTTTTTGAGAAATTTAACTTTTGGTCAAAGTCAAAGTCAATGGTCAACTCTGGTCAAAGTCAATAGGTTGACTCTATCTGATTTGACTCAGCGAGTTGACTCAGCAAGACCTGGTTCGGTCTGACTAGACCGGTTCTAGAAGGCTCCTAGACTAGCGAACGAATCCCATGCGCACTGCAGTGCGTGGCGGCACGTGCGACAGTGACAGGGTCGATTTGGATAGTTAAACTCTCCCTCATCAACTACACATTTAAATTTAACCACAATCAACCCAATTTCACAACAACACTCATCGAAACTCACTGAAAAATCGTTCAAAACTTACTCCAGCAGCAAATGACCAAAAATGATGAAACATAGGACCCACTGGTTCGGTTTTGAACGCACAACACCAGAGAAGCCAACGGAGGTAGCGGTGACATGGGGGTGGCTTGATCAGCGGCAAACGAGAAAAAAATCAAGCGTGATTTGGAGGGGTTTTTCGACGAAGCTTCTTAGTCTTTTTTTGTGCCTATCGATGATTATTCAAGGTGCAATGGGGCTTGGGTTTTGGTCGTCGATCGTCGGTGAACACAATGGTGGCGGTGGTGGGCTGAATGGCGGTCGGACGATGGCGTAATCGGCGAAAGAGTGGTGGGGTGCGATTTGGGGTTGAGGATTTAAGGATTTTTGTT